ATGTAAATAAATAGCTTCCACTCTGACTAGTGCAAAACCATATTGATTTTACAGATAGAACTTTTCAATCAGAATCACTATTTGGAAAGGTGCTATGAGGATTTCCTTTATACTGTTAGATTTTTTTTTCTTTCCAACAAAATAAAATCTTCTCCGAACTATGAGAATTCAATATAATCCAGCATGGACCTAATTATCATAAGGGAAAAAATATTTGAATGTTGCACTGGATAACAAAAAGGATAGGAACAGATCACATTCCTGAATATTTTGACTTATTCTTATCTTTAAAAGAGGAGCTGAAGATATATACTACTTCCTTCTTAGCAATGAAAATAAGCTTAGTATAATTTTCATAATAAAATAGACTTTGAAGGCATTATTTCTTCCAAAAGTCAAAAGAAAAGTGTTTGTTTAAACACACACTTTTTTGTGAAAATATTTACAAAAAAAGTTTTGTATACTAAAACTCTGAAACAACTTATTCTGGTACGGGAAAGGCTAGGCTGCATTAACAGACGGATAGAATCAAGATCACGTGAAGTGTTAATACCACTTTATAACGCCTTGGTAAGGCCACACTTGGAATACTGCATCCAGTTTTGGTCATCACGATGTAAAAAAAGATGTTGAGACTCTAGAAAGAGTACAGAGAAGAGCAACAAAGATGATTAGGGGACTGGGGGTTGCTGGAATTGGGTATGTCTAGTTTAATGAAAAGAAGATTAGAGGTGACATGATAGCAGTGTTCCAATATCAGGGCTGCCACAAAGAAGGAGTCAAGCTATTCTCCAAACGGCAGGATAAGAAGCAATGGATGGAAACTTATCAAGGACAGATGTAACTTACAACTAAGAAGAAATTTCCTGACAGTTAAAACAATTAATCAGTGGAACAACTTGCCTCCAAAAGTTGTGAATGCTCCAACACTGGAAGTTTTTAAGAAGAGATTGGACAACCATTTGTCTGAAATGGTATAGTGTTTTCTGCCTGAGCAGGAGTTAGACTAGAAAACCTCCAAGGTCCCTTCCAACTCTATTATTCTATTCTGTTCTGTTCCGTTCCGTTCCATTCCATTCTATTCTATTCTATTCTATTCTATTCTATTCTAACCATTGCAGGTTCTCTTGTTGAGTGTGTAAATATAATAATAAGGAATACATATTGCTTATAAACTATCAAAAGGATATGTTTAGCACTAGCTAATAAGAACAAAATATAACACTTGTAAAATTATAACAGGCAAGCTTAAAATACAACCAATTAAGTGTTTTTGCCCTGCAGAGTTAGTAAACACTCAGACATTCATAAACCAAAGAAAAACACTTGTCTGCTCTCATTATGATCTATAAAAACTGGCAGTTTGTTATCCTATTAGCAGCTATCCTGCAGTTTCAAAGTCTTGATGTATAAAAAATATTAACATTAACTTGGATAATATCCATCAGTTCTTCAACATCAGCTGTTTCTATCAAATAAGAGTTACAGATGTCTAAATTGTATGACTACTATTACTAATAGTGTACGTCTGCGGTTTTGTGTGTGTACACTGTATGTCCATAAACATATGTTTTCCATCTGCAGGATTATAGGAAGCAGCTGAAGTTTAAAAAAAAACAGCACAACAGCTGTAAAAAAATAATGCCATCAATTTAACTTCAGGGTGACAGCTCAACCATTAGGCAGAGAAATAAAGACTAGGCATTGAAGCATTTCTCCATCAAAATTTAAATGGGGAAAATGCATTAAAATTATCTGTATATATTAAAACCTCTTAGAGTGTT